ATACTTTTTCATTGGATTTCACATGGCCTTGTCCAGCCAAAAGTTCTTTTCATTCAAGCTTAAGTAGAATGCAGTTTTGCCTATGTCTTATCAAGAGCCCCAGCGGGACTCGAACCTTAATACTGCAGCGTATAATTTCAACATGTTTGCCTCATCTACAACCGCAAAACATAACGTGGTATGGGCATTCATGTAAAATCGGACGAGTGGTTAACGCGTCGAGATTAAACTCTGTAGTTGCGTGGTTCGAGTCCCGCTGAGGGTGCTGCTGAGATCTTGGCGAGGTGCGAACTGCAGCCCACTCTTGCCTAAACGAGAATACCTTTTGGGAAAACAAGGCAATTGGATATGCTATAGCAACGTCATGTCTACTCATATAATGGTGGGAAGATTCAACTACCAGTCCCTTTATTATCCTAAAAGAAATGGGACGTACATTTCTCTTTCTCTTGTTTGTAGATGACCATCTCATTCAAACTGAGCCTCATCAGCATCCCCAACTGAAATACATATATTTTTTTCGGCCAATATGTGAAATTTACGGTTAGCCAGGCTTCTCCCAAATTAGAATGATAGGGAGCCCCGATTAAGGCAATCCTTTGCCAGTTCAATCGACGATTCTACTTATTTTTGCAATAAGTAGATTCAAGAATATTAATAGATCTTTAAAGAGAAGTTAGTCAATTAAAGTGTTCTTCGTATGTAAATATATTTTCGAGACTACCAGTAAATCAGTAATGTCATATGAATTCACATAATTTCGTGTAAGGTGATGACGGGGCTGGTAGAAGAAGAATTTTCCCACAATCATATGAGTTGAGCTGACGTTTCCATTCAATTTCACATATTTTTCGAATTGAGTATTGTTTTCGTGACTACCAGTAAATCAGTAGTATGAGATGTATTCACCTAATTTCGTTTAAGGTGATGAAGGGCTGGTGGAGGAATAATTTTCCCACAATCATATAAGTTCAGCTGACGTTTCCATTCAATTTCACAGAGCCTTGCTTCACCAAAA